CTTAGCAGTCTTGTACTGGCCAAAGTGCGCGCGCTCAGCAGAAGGCAGGTGACTACGAACAGCAAGGCGAGCAACAGCGTCACGAGTAGTCCACTGCGAGTGAACCGTACTGTCAGCAGTGGCAGCAGGTGCAACAGAGGCGCCGGACGTGTGATCGAAAAGCGAGACTCCGTCCCTAGAGTCGCACTGAAGAAAGAGCTGCAGGTCATCTACCCAAACGTCGAAATCTACCGCACGGCCCTCAGCATCGAAGGTAAGAACAGTAGGACTAGCCATGGCGGCAGTAGCAGCAGTAGCAGCAGAGGCAGCATGTAGCAGCAGTAACAGCTGTAGCAGTAGGAGCAGCGCGGGCAGGGCAGCGCGGCTCAGTAGGGCAGGGCGGCGCGGCTCGGCAGAGCGGCGCGGCTCGGCTGGGCGGCGCGGCTCGGCTGGGAGGCGCGGCTCGACTGGACGGCGTGGCTCGGCAGGCAGGTAGGCGCGACAGCGCGCTTGTAGGGCAGGTGCGCGGGTAGCGCGGGTAGGGCAGGTGCTCACCAGGGGCGGGTAGGGCAGGTGCCACCGGCGGCGGGTAGGGCAGGCGCGCGACTGGCGCGGGTAGTGCAGGCCCCCGACGGGCGGCTGCAGGCGCTCGACGGGCGGGTAGGGCAGGGCCGCGACGGCGGGTAGGGCAGGGCCGCGACGAGGAGGTAGGGCAGGGCCGCGACAGGCGGCAGGGTAGGGCAGGCGCGCGACGGCGGCTGCAGGTAGGGCGGGCGCGCGACGGCGCGGGTAGGGCAGGCGCGCGAACGCGCGCTTAGGGCAGGCGCGCGTAAGGCAGGGCGCGCTAGGGCGCGGATGAGGCAGGCACGAGGCGCACTACAGGGCAGGCAGGCGCGGCAGCGCGCTTCGGGCAGCGCAGGAGAAAAATCGTTGGTGGGCCCTTAGGAAAAAAAACGTTCCCACTAGGGAACCTGCTCTGAAACCATGTGAAAGATAGAAAACGAGAATGAGCAAACTAGCAGCAATGTGGGTACAAGTAGGAAACCCTAAATGTGTTGTACCCCATATGAGCTACCCCACTACAGCCTACACAGACTATAGCATATAAGTTTGACAGAGTTCTTGCGCGGATGCACCTTCGCCTGTTCGATGTGGACGCCCCCCCACTAAAAATCGACCACTATTGATGCTCTCCATCGAACGGTCGGCGATCCTCCTCGCCCATGGTGGGGACCCCAGGCGAAACTCCACGAGGTTAGGCAAACTTAAACGAAATAAGCTGCAATTACGAGTTCTAATAGTTCGACTTCATCATCGGCGTGCTCCTGAAGGCCCAACGGCTAAGCGTTGTATCGAAGCCTTGTGCTCTGATTACCAAGTGTCACAGGCCCATGATCTGGAAATGTTCCAATGTAAATAATGAATCTTAGGTACAACTGCGGGACTATATATAGGCACGTAACAGGCAGGTAACCAGGATGTTTCTAGAATGAAATCACGCTCCAACAACAGCCTTCCCGAATCGGTACAGTCAATTCGGTGCAAAGTCACGCACACACAAGGTCACGCGAGATAGTGCGAAATAATTCTGGAAATGGTGCACACATAATCTATTCAGTGCATGTACGTGAAATAAGACTTAGAAAGGTAAACGAATAGGAAAATGAGCGTAACAAGTAAAATGGAAAATAGAAACATGAGAAATTATGGGAGATTAGACGACGTACTTTCACACACGCAGCAGAATTGATCGCACGTCCGCATCGAAACGCAAGAATTAGTCAAACGCCATAAGAGCAGGGAGCAGGGGCACATCTGCAGCAGGTGAGAGGATACGGCCACAGGAAACCCTAAACTGCAGATGGAGGCACGGCGCAGGGTGCTACGGCAGGTGCACGACAAGTGTGGCGGTAGGGCACGGTCGGGCATGGTAGTGTGGTATGCAGGCGCACGCCATACACGGACGGTAGCGGCATGGGCTCAGTAGGCACAGGTGCATGCGTAGCAGGTGCGAGAGGCGGCGGCTAGGGTGCGGGTGGCGCTGGCACACGCGGGTGGCGGCAGGCGCGGCTGGCTCGCAGGGCGCTGACATGCGCAGCTGGTGTTGGCTGGCGCGGCTGGCGCTGCTGGCGCGGCTTGTGCTGGCTGGCACGGCTACGCTGGCTGGTGTGGGTAGGAGGCATGGGCAGCGGAAGCTATAGGGGCGACGGGGCCAGCGGGGCTAGCGGGGCGACGGGGCAGGTGGGGCCAGTGGAGCGACAGGGACAGCGGGGCCAGTAGGGCGCGGCGGGGCTAGCGGGGCCAGCGAGACGACGGGGTTAGCGGGGCCAACGGGGCGACAAGGCTATCGGGGCCTGCGCGGCGATGGGGCTAGCGAGGCTGCGCGGCGACGGGGCAAGCGGGGCCAGCGGGGAGTGACGCGCCTACGGGGCTAGCAGGGCAACGGGGCTAGCGAGACCAGCGGGGCGATGGGGCTAACCGTGCTAGGCGGGAGCGCGACGGGGCCTACAGAGCGACGGAGCCAGCGGGGTTAGCCGGGCGCGGCGAGGCTAGCGGGGGTCGACGGGGCGATACGGGGCCGTGGGGCGCTAGAGCTGGCCACGGCACGCTAAGGGCGCTAGGTGGCACGAGGTAGGCAGGAAGGCGGGGCGGAAGCGTTTACCTAACCTAACAATGATACGATCTTTGAAGAGACGCGAACCGGAGTGGACTAGAAAGGGGCATACATTGAGTACCGTACAAGTAGAAAAGCATGCCCTCCACAGTGTGAGAGAATAAATATTATATAATATAACTGCATATACTGTAGCTTCGCTTGTCGGTGGTGCACCATTATGCCTACCCTTGCCTTGGCCTTGACTATATTTGTTCCTCTCAACTCTACTTCCAAAACCCAAATTCCTCATGTTGTCTTCATATGCTCCTAAACTTCATACCTAGTAGCTTGCTATCACGACATGGTAACAGAGCCAACTTTCCTTTGCCGGTCACTCTCATGGCCCCACTCTCGAGCGCCCTGCTAGCCCCGTCGCTCCACGATGGCCCCATCGCTGCCGCACCGACCCATCCCCGCCCCCTTGATTCGTCCCGCCCCGCTGGCCTGTCTCGCCCAGTTGGCCCCGTCGCTACGGTCGCGACGACGAGCTGTGCGCGGGTCTTCGTCGGCCCCGTCGCGCCCTCTTGTGGACCCGTCGTGCACCAGCTTCAGCCCCGTCGTCGCGTCCTGTCGCTCCCAGCAGAGGCCCCGTCGCGCCCTCCAGTCGACCCCGTTAGTCCCGCTGCTGCCGCGACGGCAGGTGCCGCTTGCTGCTTCCGCGAGTGCAGCTGCCGCGCCCGCTGCTGCCGTGCCCGCTGCTGCCGTGCCCGCTGCTGCCATGCCTTCTGCAGCCGGCTTGCACCTGCCGTGCCCCCCTGCTGTCGCTGTGGGCGGAAGGCAACAGGGGTGGCGGCAGTGTCTCTGCAGCGCCAGCTGCCGCCGCCTTGCTATGTTTGTCGCTGTGGGGGGGAGGTTGAGGGGGTGGCGGCAGTGAGCCTGCACCGCCAGTAACCCTCAAAATATATGAGTTTACAGGTTGACATAGAATCCATGGCCGGTTGGTTGTGGTTTGTGTGAAAGTCATTTTCACAATTTTTAGTTTCATGTTTGTTTTGGCGACATAGATTGTATAAATATCGACGACATAGATTGTAACAGGTTGCTCCGCAAACCAAAAATCCAACCAAGTCCCTCGGGTCCAGCGCGTTCATGTACAGTTCACCAGTCGTGGTGCAAGACGATTCCGGACGGTTAACAGTGGTTTATATTTCACGGTTTTGCACCGTGACGCAACATAAGTAACCGCACAGAACGAATGAAGGACGAACGCGCTGGACCCACCCTCACTTTTCCTCCCCCCTCCCGCTTTTCCCCCCATGTCATGCAGTACAGTAATCCACTGCGCTTGGCTGCCTCACCCGTCTCGACAATATGGGCCCTTGCCCTGGAATCGAGGGCGGTCCGTCGGCCTTCTCTAGTGCTTCCGCGCTTCCGCATACAGTGACATTGACTGCAGCCAAACCCAGAGCATTCTGTATATATAGGAGCCTTCGTTCATGTGCACATTGGATCGAGTTCCTCCCATAGTGTCACACTGGCCTTGGCGCTCCAATTGCAACCCTGGGCTGGGCTGTGCGTCTCGGTCTGTAGCCAGCCCAGACGCACAGAAAACCCAGGGGCCAATTCAAGACGCTCGATAGCCAGGCCCCAGCAGACGGGCATCGCATCCAACAGTCGGCCAGCAGGTGCGCCTCCTAACCTGGATTTGCGTCAGCCCTGCCGCTTCGTGCCTACCCTTGGCCTACCAAGGTGAGCTTACTTATGAACAGCGAGTCGAGTCGAATGCATCAGACCTTCTCTTCACTCAATTGCGATTGCAGCATTAACAGCACAGCTGTCCGTGCGTTAACAGCACACAACGAGGCTTGAGCAACGTGTGTACATAACTTGTGACGGCCTGCCTTGGACTGGCGTTGGCTCCGGCTAGTTTTTTCGAATCCACCAACTCCGCGGGCGTTTTACGCTATGTCTGCTTTGTAGTCAGCTCGAGCAAGACCCGACATTCAAGGAATCAATCGCAAATCGCTAGAATCGGCATGACCCGCACACAAAACATGGGATGCACCTTAAAGCATCAAGGAAGACATATCATCTGGCTTTTCCTCGTGCTCATAACTCAGTCGCTCAATAACGTCGATGCAATTATGGATGGCTCGACTCAATTCGGAAGGCAATTGCGAGCAAATGGTGGTGGCAACGGCGGCAGCAGTGACAGGGGTCTTCCAACAAAACGTGAGACAAGGACGAGCAGCCATAGACTCGTGATTTTTTTTTTTTTTCTCTCTCTCTCTCTCTCTCTCTCTCTCTCTCTCTCTCTCTCTCTCTCTCTCTCTCTCTCTCTCTCTCTCTCTCTCTCTCTCTCTCTCTCTCTCTCTCTCTCTCTCTCTCTCTCTCTCTCTCGTCTCTTAGACTGCACATTAAGTTTATGAACAGTGTTGAAAGCTCGATAACGGTTATCCGTACCTCGTCTGTTTTCACATTCTCCGCTTCCCACGACCTTGCAGTGTACATCATCCGCTTTCGCGCACTCCCCCCAGTAGTCGCGTACACGGGCTCCCTCCTGGGCTTCCCTTCCACGGCTCCGCGCAACGGCTACTCCGCTGCAACAGCCGCTACCCCGGAAGATTTTGCTGACGAGATTACGGCGAGGTCAACTGGCTTGACGGGCGCGGCGGTCAGCCCTGACGTGAGTGACAATGGCAAGGCTCCAGCAGGGCGGCTGGACTCGGGGGCGGAGCACGTGCGGGCGTACGCGCAGCACCTGGACCGCATGCACGACACCGTGCTCGCCGAGGCCGGCGTGCAGCCCCTCACGCACAAGCTCTACAGCTTCAGATACGTCACCAATGGCGTCGCCGTGCGGCTAACCCTGCGGCAAGCGGCGTTACTGAAGCGGCATCCAGCCGTGGGCTCGCTCATGGAGTCGAAATTCCTTGAGGCGCGTACCACGTTCACTCCATCGTTTCTTGGGTTGAGGGACGGGGTATGGGATCGTCGGCCCATCCCTGCATCCACACCTGGGGCACTGCAATGGCTCGCCGCGAGAGGTGCCAGGGGGGCGGGCGGCGATGGGGGCACTCGGGCTAAAGCAGTGCGAGAAGCACAAGGAGCAGCGCCGGCAGCGCGCACCGCGAGCGCGGAACCCTCGCAAGAAACGGACGGTGCTGAGCAGTGGGTGGGATTGGAAACAGTGGACGGGGTGATGGGCGCGGAGGTGGGGCAGCGGCTGAACAGCAGCACATCCCGGGTGGGTACAACTAGTGGTACAGGAAGTGCTGACATAGATGCGCGAAAGTATGGGGTGCGGGCTGGCAGAAAGCGGGGTGGGAAGCGCGTAGACACTGGTCTGCGCGGGGAGAATGTGATCATAGGCGTTATCGACACGGGCGTGTGGCCGGAAAACCCCGCCTTCACCGGGAAGGTTCTTCCGCATTACGGGCGCATTCCACGTCGGTGGCGCGGGTCTTGCACGGTCACCAAGGACTGGCCGAGCGGCGCGTGCAGCCGCAAGCTGATCGGCGCCAAGGCGTTCTTCAAGAGCATGCAGGACGACGTCGACTGGAGCGTCGAGTACCCGTCGGCGCGCGACGTGCACGGCCACGGCACGCACACGGCCAGCACGGCCGCCGGCAACGACGGGCGCACGGCGGTGCTGCGAGGCGTGCGGTTTGGATCGGAGAGCGGCATGGCGCCCAGAGCGAGGATCGCCGTGTACAAGGTACGATGCTGCGAGACGACTGGTAGAGGTTTGTGAGGCCAGGGAGGGAAGGCACACGTGGCAGTGTGGAAGGGGGCAGTAGTAAGTGCGGTGTCCGTACATGGCGTACAATGCTTCTGTACGTTCGCTGTCACTCAGTGCCCGTTCTCCCTTTCCCCCACATCAGACGCTATGGACGTTGAAGGACGGCGGTGCGGTGAGCGCGGAGGCGGACATCGTGGCGGCCATCGAGGCGGCGGTGGAGGACGGCGTGGACGTGCTGACCATGTCGCTGGGCGGCCAGGCGTCGCTCTTCGACGTCGACCAGCTCGCCTTCCTACACGCCGCGCAGGTGATTCCTGCCACACCCCCCACCAACGCGCATGTGCCGCCTCTGTGTTCGTTGCTGCTCACCATGGGCTCGCCGTGCCTGTCGCTAACCCCGCCCCCTCGTGACCCGTATCTTCCGCCCCCTGTGCTGCGCGTGTCAGGCCGGTGTGTTCGTGTCGGTGCCGGCGGGCAACAGCGGGGCGGCCATCGAGAAGCAGTACTTCACGTGCACGCTGGACCACCCGGCGCCGTGGTACACCACCGTCGCTGCCAGGTCAGGCCCCGCTCCCGGCCCTCCCCTTGGATGGCTTCCCCCGCTTCTACTCCTTTTCCAAGCCCACTTACTTTCTAACTCACGTATCCTTCCAACCCCTTCGTCCCTTCCCTCCCTCCCTGCTCCATCCCCTCCAACTCCGACCTACCCGTTCCCCGCGCGCGCTTGCTGCCAGCTCGCACGGGCGCAACTACAGCACGGCCGTGACCATCGCGGGCAGCACGTTCGTGGGGCGATCGCTAGTGGGCGGCAAGGGCACGGCGCTGAGAGCGGGCATCATACTGGGGTCGGACGCCAACAGGCCGGGCGCGTCCAGAAATGCGGTGAGCCCCACGCACGCCCATGCGAGGCAGTCCGGAGTGCGAGTGAGTGGAAGTTTTAACGGATGCTCGTCTCTTCAGGTTGCTCGCCGAGCGCTCGACTTAGTGGTACCGCCGAAGTCATGGCCTCGCATCACACAGTTTCTCCACCTTTCAAAGCGCTCCAAACATTTTCTTACCTCTTTCTTTTGGACCACGCCAGCAACTAGCTTCTTGCGCTGCCTCTCACATCCTCCTGCTCTCCCGTGACTGCCACCGCCAGGCCAACTTTTGCGAGCGGGGCTCGCTGGACCCCGCCAAGGTGCGCGGTAAGATTGTGGTGTGCACGCGCCCCAGCACGCAGGGCTCGCACTCCGCGCGCACCTTCAACATCAGCCGCGCCGCCAAGGCGGCGGGCGCCGTGGGCGTGGTGATCGCGAACCAGGACCCGGGCGACAGCACGGCCGCCATGCTGCACGACCTGCCCGCCTCGCACGTGGACGCGGACGTGCGGGCCAAGCTCATCGCACTCGTGAAGGCCACGGCAAGGTAAGCGGGTGGGGCTATGGGATGAAGGGAGTGCATGCGCTATGGAATTCGTGCTCTATCTGTTGCAAGCATCGTCTACTGCAACACACTGGCCGTCACCAGAAACGCAGTAAGCACAAGGGAAGTGCTTAATTGGGTGCTAATGGAATTCACTGCCAACCTTGCGTGCACACACACAGCACTGCCAGCACTGCCTCCCAACTCTTGGAACGTCACGTATTCCCTTTGCCCAACTAGTCGCGGCACCTTACCTCGTGCATGTGTGTGTCCCACCCACCGTCTCCCCTTTCCCCCCTGCAGCCCCATGGCGTCGCTGTCGGCGCTGTTCATAGCGCACTCGCCGTCGCCCACGATGGCGTGGTTCTCGTCCACGGGCCCCAGCACGGACCCCTACCAGACGTTCGACGCCGCCGCCATGGGCAGCAACCTCAACGACGTGGTCAAGCCCGACCTCACGGCGCCGGGCGTGGAGATCTGGGCGGGGTGGACGCAGTCGCCCTTTCAGGTCACCGACATGGGCGTCACAGACGGTGAGCGCGCCCAGCCTCGCTTGCACGCCCCTTGCTCCCACAGCCGTTCAACCAGCATGAGTACTAACTTAGGCTGCTCACTGCCGTTGCACGTTTTCCCATGGCAGCTACGAGTGTGCGACCGGGTGCAGTGACGGCGCAGATGGTGAGCGGCACGTCCATGTCCACCCCACACGTGGCGGGCATCGCAGCACTGATGAAGCAGCAGCACCCCGAGTGGAGCCCGTTCGCCATCAAGTCAGCGCTGCAGACCACGGCGTACACGGTCAACAGCGCCACCGCGCCCATCGCCAACGAGGACGGCCGCGCCGCAAATGGCCATGCCATGGGATCCGGACACGTCTTCCCTGCTCGCGCCATGGATCCAGGTGCGCAGGGTGTGCATGACGGGTGAAGACAGGCATTCTGTCCCATCATCATGCGTGGCTATTGCTTTCTATAATCAGGGTGAAAACGAACGATGATTTGAGGCACAGCAGTACATCTCGTACCCCTCTAAATGGGCATGGAGCACCCGTGTGGCATGTTGGTGCAATGTGCAGGGCTGGTGTACGACAGCAACATGGTGCAGATGGTGCAGTTCCTCATGGCCGTCGACCCCTGGGAAACCAAGCAGACCAGCGCCTACACCTCCCTGCCTGCACGCTTGCGCACCGCCATTCCTTCGTACAACGTCAATCTCCCAAACATTGCTGTGAGCAGGCTCCAGAAGCAAGCGGTGGTCACGCGTGTTGTCAAGAATGTGGGCTCAGTGACGGCAACTTACAAGGCAACTGTGGTGCGCCCGAAAGGAGTACGGGTCATTGTAAGCCCTGCAGAGTTTACCATAGCCCCTGGCCAATACAGCAAGTATACTATCACGTTTTTGGTGCGGAGGCCGAGCAATCACTTCAAGTTCGGCAGCCTTGTATGGACGGATGGAGTACACACTGTACGTTCAGTGTTGGCTGTTCAACCTCTTTCCCGCTGACTTGCCCCTACTCAACTTTGAACATTAGACATGCTTCGTCCAGATTATTCTAACATGCTAGTGTCTGCCAACACTATCGATTGCAGTAGTGCGAAGCGTTATGATGGGTGCCATTTGATTGGCCATTGACCTAAACATATTAGGTGAAGCCTGTTTGTATGTATGACATTTGCACACTGAGCTTATTTTTGTGTTCTACTAATGTATTACCATAGTCTTCATAAAAGAAACTATATTTTCAGAATGACCATGTGTTAGTGGCATTGTTTTTCACTCCGATGCTATGAAACGAAATTTCAGTGTTGTGATATTTGGGGATGCTTTGGTCAGTCCCCCAGAAGTCCAAGAAATTCCTCTGATTTTCTCAGAATGTGCAAGCGGAATGATGTGAACTAGGAACAATGGGATTCAAATGTCAGAATGAACTAGCATGAATGGTGGACTATGAGAATGGTTGGGTACAAGTACTAACCCTAATGGGTAATACCGTATGGCCCCAGATAGTAGCGCATATGCGCTTATAATAAATTCATTTTTTTTTAGGGGGGGCGCTTGTAATTGAGTAACGGCCATAAGCGCCGGCGCTTATATAATGACAAATACGAAATTATATATTTAGAGCACCAAGTTGTTCATTTTCTTCTTGCCATTTCAACCGAGTCGAAATGTTTTAGCGTCACAAAGCAGAATCTCGCGCAAGCGATTCTTAAATTAGGCTAGGAACAAGTGTCGAGAGAGTGGTTTGAGTGAGTAGGTAGGAACAATGGGATACAAGTCGACCTAGAGAATGTTGTACCCTTTAGAGGGCAACTCACTGTAGCCTAGATAACTAACATCTAGAACATATAAACATTTGACACACCCCCATAGGCTAAGTGAGGGGCATCAAATCAACCAAGGGAAACAAAGGGTCACAAGACCAGTCAAGTGAAGGAACACAGCAAGCTCAGGGTGGATCACGAAGCCACCACACAATCTGAGCACAAGCAAAGGGCCACAAGGCCAGTTCAAGAGTTCACAATATGTATAGATACAGGAACAAGCAGAGCAAGCAACAAGAAGCAAGTCCACAGTAACCGAACACCAGCGTCAACAAGCCCCAACTGCACACAGAACCTGTGGTGGTCACCAGGCGCCAAGGCCTTGGTGAAGACGTCGGCAGTGTTGGCCTCTGAGGCCACAAAGTCCAAGCGTGCCTGGTCGCGTCACTGCAACTCTTGCAGGAGGAAGTACCTCACGTCAATATGCTTCACCCTGCTCTCTAGTCGAGGCTCTCGACAAAGGAGGATCATTGCCTTGTTGTCAGCGTACAAGGTCGGTGCAGAGCGAGGCCGCTCACCAAGGTCGGCGAGCAAGAAGGTCAACCAGCGAAGCTCCTGTGCCGCCATGGCACCAGCGTAGATCTCTGCCTCTGCACTGGACGAAGCCACGGACGACGACCGTGTAGACCTCCACGACACAGCACCAGCACCCAGACTGAAGCAGTAACTCTGAGTCGAACGCTGAGTCTCCACGTCGTCAGCGTAGGAAGAGTCGCAGTGACCGGTCAACACAACTGGCTGTGTCCCTCCAAGCACAAGCCCCATGCCTGATGTAGTCGCCAGGTACTTCGCCACCCTCACAGCAGCTGTCCAGTGAACAGGACGGTGTCTCCCAGTCGCAACAAAGCGAGAGAGGACGCTGAGGGGAAAGGCGAGGTCCGGCCGAGTACAAGTCATCAGGTACATGAGGCAGCCCACAAGCTCTGCGTAGGGGCCACTAGACTCAAAGGGCTCGTCAGGAAAAGGGCCAGTGAGTCGGTGGTCAATGGCAAGAGGAGTGGGCTGTGTGGTGGAGAACTGAAACCCGAACCGCCGAAGGACCTGCTGCACCATGTGTGACTGAGTCAGTGTGATGGTGCGAGCGACTCTGTCCCTGGTGATCTGCAGGCCAAGGTAGCGCTGCAGTTCACCGAGGTCAGTGCACTTGTGTCTCTTCTGCAGTTCGGATTTCACCTCAGTCAGAGCTGCCCTGTCTGCTGTAGCAAAGACCAAGTCGTCGACGTACACTAGTATAAAGAAAGGAGTGGAACCAGTGCGAAGAAACAGCGACGGGTCGGCAGAGGAAGGACGAAACCCAAGGTCACGAAGCGTGGAGCGAAGAGTGTCGTGCCACTCACGGGGCGACTGGCGGAGACCGTAGACTGGTCGCCTCAGACTCCACTGGGTCCCAGGTGGGAAGGTGTCAGTGAATCCAGGAGGACGGCGCAACCAGATCTCCTCGTGCAGTCCGCCCTGGAGAAACGCAGTGGAGAAGTCAAGGGAGTGCAGCTCGTAGTCTCGCTGTGCTGCTACGTGCAGTAACACCCGAAGAGTAGTCATCTTCGGGGTCGGGGCGAAGGTCTGGAAGAAGTCAACTCCCTCACGCTGACTGAACCCCCTAGCCACGTAGCGCGCCTTGAACACAGGCGGTGAACCAGGCGGCCGCTTCACCTTGAAGAGCCATATGCCATCGACAACGTTCGCCCTGGGAGGGGGAACTGCGTCGACGTACGTGCCTGTGGATCTCCAAGACGCTAACTCTGCATCCATAGCCGCTTTCCACTGAGAGGCCCACTTCCCTGACACTGCCTCACGGTACGTGCGAGGTGTCGGTATGTCAAGGGCGTCGGGGTCTCCCTCAAGGGAAAGCAGCATGGCGCAGAGAGAGGGGGAAGCGGCTGCTAAGAACTCCAGCTCAAACTGCCTGTCCTCTAGGACGTCACAGCCAAGGGCAGACTCACCCCCGACGGACAGAGGACGGGGAGGTGGAGCAGCCACCACACGCGTGGCGTAGTCAAGACGGCGGGTGGAAGCAAAGTCAGCGACAGCGGCAGTAAGAGCCGAGACAGACGACGGAGGGGCACGAGGGTCGGTGACAAGAGAGGCGAGAACACGGGAGACAACAGGGCGAGCAGCACGGTAGTAGTCAGTGATAGGGTGAGAGGAAACGGTGAGAGACGACTCAGGAGGTGAGGGGAGAACAGACACAGGCGGAGAACGACGAGGAGGAGAACGAAACAAGACAGTGCGCAGGTCGGAAAACGGAGACGAGGGCCGAGCACGCAGAGGACAACGACTGGTCCAGTCGTGCGGGACAACAGGAGGAGACGACCGTGACTGAGGAGGAGAGAAACCAGCCGGAGTCGAGTCCGGAGGAGGAAACGTGGGACCGTACGCAGTAGGTGACTGGGAGTGGACAGGAGGAGAGGAAGGAAGACCAAGGGCCCGAAGGCCACTCACTGGAGAGAACAGCTGCTGCAAAGGTGGCGGCTGCGGCGTCTGCTGCTGCTGCTGCTGCTGGTCCAACTGCTGCAGCTCCTGCCTCTCCTGCTCCACCCGCTCCTGCTCCTCGCGCTCAAGCCGGCGAAGGGCCTTGAAGCGGGTGTCGTGGCGGTGGGGACGCGCAGTGGGCGACGCAGTAGGCGAGCCTCCAGCTCCCGTCTCCTCAGTACCAGCACCTCCAGCTCCAGCACCCCCAGAACTAGCACCTCCAGTGCCAGTACCTCCAGCACCAGCACCCCCAGAACTAGCACCTCCAGTGCCAGCACCTCCAGCTCCAGCACCCCCAGAGTTAGCACCTCCAGTGCCAGCACCTCCAGCTCCAGCACCCCCAGAGCTAGCGTCACCTGCGCCAGCACCTCCAACTCCAGCACCCCTCGAACGAGCACCCCCAGACCGAGTACCGCCAGCGGCTGCACCTCCAGCTCCAACACCAACCGAGTCCACAGTAACCTGTCGCGGAAGTGCCGAAGGCTGCCGAGGGGACTGTGAGGAGGACTGCGGGGAGGGAGACGCTACCTGACGCGCGACCGAGGGTAGAGGGGTAGCGTGAGACACACCGGACGGGGCAGGACCAGGGGGGGGTGGGGGTACCGGAGGAGCAGGAGCAGGGGGAAGAGAGGGTGCGAGGAAGAGGGGGGGAGGGGGAACCGGGAGACCTCGACAGGGGTACCGAGTGTAGTAGGACACTGACTCGTCAAACCGAACGTCACGAGAGTCTAGAAACTGGTGGAGGGGCGGGTGGTAAAAGGAGTAGTCGGGAGAGCCCACCAAGAAACCAAGGAAGACACAGGGGATGGCGCGAGCCGAGAGCTTGTCCGCAGAGGTGTCGCGGACAAGCGCAAGGCAGCCCCAGACGTGAAAGGCCGACCCAACACCAGGGGACCCAGTCCAAAGACTGGTCGGTGAAACCTCTTGCCGCGAGACACGCGGCTGGAGGTTCAGCTGGTGCGCGGCGTAGCGCAGCGCATAGGGCCACAGAAAATGGGGCGCACGGGCATGGATCATGGACGTGGGGGCGATGTCCATGACCAAGCCAATGCGGCGCTCAGCAACCCCATTCTGCTGTGGGGACTCCGGCAGCGTCCAGGACTGTCTGATGCCCTGCTCGCCGCAGAACCCGGCAAGGACGCCGGAGCGAAACTCACCCCCACGGTCGGAGTGGAGACAACGGACACGACTACCACGAGTGCCCTCAGTGGCCAGAAGCCACCGGATCAGCGTAGAAGTCACCTCGGACTTCTTAGCGAGAAGAAACACCGTGGTGTACCTGGAGTAGTCGTCAACGACCACTAGAAAGTAGCGCTCCCTCTCAGGTCCCAGCGTAGGGGCAGGGCCCCAGACGTCCAGGTGGAGAGTCAGGAAAGGAGCAGTGGCCGGACGAAGGGAGGAGGAGTGCGGAGTGGCGCGCAGGCGGCTGGCGACGCAAGGAGTGCATGGTGGGGCAAGCGAGGGAGGGAGCGACGGAAAGACGCGTGGGAGACCTGAGACAAGACTGTGACTGGCCATGCTGCGGAGGCGGGGGAGCGACAGGTGGCCAAGGCGGTGGTGCCACAAGACGGTCGGGTGGGCGAGGGACCGACAGGAGCAAGACGCAGCAACCTGACTAGACACCACTACCTGACCAGACACAGCAACCGGACTAGACACTGAGACCTGAGGGGACGCAGCGACCTGAACGGAGGAAGTAACCGGAACGTA